TATATTTTAAATAAAAAAACTCCACCTTTTGAAATATAACTTAAAGCTTAGAATTTTGAAGTGTTTGCAAATGTGCATGGTCAAAGATGCTACTACAACTTTAAACAATATTTCGAAATAAATATAGATTGAAGGTAGCTCTGATACTCTCATGGTTATCATATCTATAATGGTGGGAGATAACATGAATGCTTTACTCACTATGTTCCTTCCCAGGAGGAAATCATTAGTGCAGTCTTTGGCTTTAACATGGACAGTGCACCAATGTTAGATGAGTTTGGTGCTACCTTTTTTCAAACTTTTTGAAATATTATCAAATTTGATGTGTGTAATGACGTCCTTCAATTTTTTAGATTTGGACGGAATATATATAAGTTATCAACCTTGAATTATTTGACTCATATGATCTTGCTTCAGGTTTTCCACAAAGTATTTTCATGCAGAAAGAATACACCACGAACTAAATAATTTGTAATTCAAAAATATTGATCGATCAATCAGTTTTTCTCCACATTCATTTAATTTATTATTTTTTAAGTTATTTAAACGGGGTTTAAAACCCCCGCAATTTAACAAAAGGTTGATTTTAACTCACGTGGCATAAAAGTCTCCATTAATGAAATATAATAGGAGAGACCAAAGATAAAGACGAAAATATTGTGATGATTATTGTTTAAAAATTTTTTTTTTTTAGAAATTAAAATTAAAAATTATCATATTTATAAAGATCTCTAACATATTTAATCTTTAATTTTTAATGTATCGAAGTACTTTATAAACCATGTTTTTCTCGTGTTTGCTAAACTCTTTTTGTTTTATGTTTCCCGGATGACATAATTCAACGGTTCAAATTGGTTACGATTACTGACGATTTAAAAGTGCTGTTAAAAGAGGTGAAATTTATTTTTGGCAGCGGTTGATCACCTTAAACCACAATTTTCTTGTGTTGCATTAACACATTTTGTTTTAAACTTTCCGGATCACTTATCGAAAATTATCCCAATTTTTTATTTTTTTATTTTTTTAACATAAATTATTTATTTAAGAGTATTTTAATTAAATTAAATGAATTGTAGAAGTAAAGAAATACTTCTTAGTAGGGGTGTTTAAAATCAAACTGGCCCAATAGAAAACCGTAAAACCGAACCAAACCAAATTAAAATCGCAAAAAACCGCATTTAGTTCGGATGTGTTTGAGTCATTTTCTCGTGGAATCGCATGGTTCAGTTCGGTTCGGTTTGCGGTTTGTATTTTACAAACCGAATCAAACCAATAAAGTACCCATGCATGTACTTTATGGGTACTTAAGTACTCATACGTAAATACTCATATTTGTACCAATTTAACCTCTATTTTTAATAAAAATAAACCAATAAATTAGAAAATATCATATCATATTAGATTTTAACAATATTTAAAAAATTCAAGGATGTTATGATTATGTTAAGAAACAAACAAACACTTTTATTAAAATATATAAGAGTTTAAAAGTGATATATATATATATATATATATATATATATATATATATATATATATATATATATATATATATATATATATATATATATATATATATATATATATATATATATATATATATATATATATATATATATATATATATATATATATATATATATATATATATATATATATATATATATATATATATATATATATATATATATATATATATATATATATATATATATATATGTGTGTGTGTTTTTTTTTTTAATTTAATAATATAAATAGTAAGGTATAAGTATGTATTGTGGGAGTATGGAGCACGAGTTGATACTAATGGACTTGTATCTGTATTTATGTCGATTTATTTTAGTGGATAATTATCTGTGTCCAAATTCATATCTATTTTATTAGTTTTAACCCTTCTCGTTGTGAGCATTTTTTTATAAGTATCCACTAGATAAGAGTCAAGTTGTCCTCTATAACCCTACATGTGAGTGTAGATGAACTGGGAGGGTAAGGGCCAAATTTGTGAGCATTTAGCATTGAAGGGCTCACCATCGATGGATTGACATTAATCATAATAAAAACATATTGGAAGAATTTGAAGAAATAATAATCCCGAATTTACTCATGCTAATGGCTTAGATAGCTAATGTCTAATTCATATCAAATCCACCCCACTTGACTCAATGTATAAAACTCAGTTAACACAGAAAGCAAGGTACTCTCTTATCTCTATATTTCACCATATTCATCTTGAATCTTGAACTCACTTAGGTGTTGGAGTGTTAACTTTGCAGGCCCACCCCACGTCGCCATATCTAAAATCATCATCACTGGTTCAAGATCACAAGTTCGTCAACTGCATCCAATTATGATTCTAGGACTGTACAGTTGCACTGTCTGTGAAAATTGACTTCTAATTCCTTCATTTTCCATGATTTCACATCGACTCTTAATTTTGTAAGTTCATGACCTTTAAGGATCGCCAAATCATGACCAATAAGACAAAAAGCGAAGATCCTTCGTGTTCAATCCAATCGATCATCGCTTTAGATCTGAACCATTAAATTTCCATATCACTAATTCCCGCAAAAATGCCTATAAGGAAAAGAATGAATGATCCTAGATCCAAATTCATATCTACGTTAGAATGAACAACAAATGGAGATACAGGGAATTCATAGCTATTGTTGACATAGATTCATTACCTAAGAACTTTTTTTAGAGACAAAGGATCTCCGAATGTTGAACGAAAGTTGCCTTAGGCTATGTCTGATATATCACGATGAAGCCCGTGTTTCTACCAATGCTACATAATCAAAGTAAAATAAAATGAACTTCCAATGCAATATTATCCACGAGTGAAACAATAATCACCGTGGATAGTGCTATGTATCGCCATGACATGAAGCACTGGACATGCCGCCTCTGCTTAACCTTCTTCTCATCACTCAGATTCAGAGCGCGGTTACTTTCAATGATAATTATCCGATAAGATTTCTCCCCTATAGGATTGTTAATCGTTGCGTCAAGAAATAAATATGCTCAAGCACAAACAAGTTCGAAAGACAAGAGCATTGAGCAAGATACACTTACAAACCGCCCGACAATTTCACCAGTTTCCAGCAGTGCATTGTTTGTACGAGATAACTCATAAGCAACATCCCTTGAGTATCAATTCCCGGTTCGATGTGGCCAAATTACTGGATCTACACGGTCAGGCCTACATGATAACAATAACTCATTTGACAAGCATATGGAAGCATCATCCCACACCCAAGGACCGAATATGCGAAGGCTCGTCAAAGACACCTCTAGTAGAAATTGTATATTCAACCCCTTTCCCGACAGCGCCACTCCTTAAGAAGGTTATCAAGTGAAGTAAGTGAGTTGGAATCCATCCATGAAGGTTAGAAAGAGATCCTCCCAAAGCATTTCTCCTTCACCTGACCCTCCTCTTGGCCCCAGTAAAATCCGACTGTATGTCAAAAGACAAACTCACACGTCTCTTATAAGAAGGTACTACACCAGAATATTCGAAAAGGTAAGTCCTTCGCCTCAAAATATATGTGGCTTTATCAAGATACATCCTCAACAAAGTCAATCATCCAATGGTGAATATCGGTTACAAAGACCCAAAGGCATCCAAAGTGGATCATCGCCCTTGTCAGGCAAACGAAGAATAAGTCGGCTACACTAACACCCCCACCAACTGAAGAAAATAAGATAAAATAGAGGACATTGCATCCTTACTTTTTCTTTTATTATTTAGATACCCTATAAAGTTACCTCTTAGCTTTGTTAATTGATATCTTAATTATTAAATGATGCAATCTCAAAGAATATTATGTGTCCCGTGCAGGATGGTGTGAGTCAGTCTTTTAAGATATACTTCACGTCTAAGGAGCACACTTCTCAACATACCAAGTGCCCTTCAGATCTAGACAATTAAAGAGCGTTGGGAGGTGGAGTCCAGAGACATCCACCTCGATCCGAGTCATACCTCGGGAAAGGATGAAGATCATAACCTAGGTCGGGGAACATTCCTCTACGACGCATAGCACAACACAAAAATGAGAACTCGATGTGGGGAAAACAAACACACTCATGCAACAAATGTTAAACACAATAAACAAATATACACACTCATAAAAAAAAAATTCTAAACACAACAAACAAATATAAACGTTAATACAATAGGTGTTAAATACAACAAAAAAATATACACTGAATCAATGAACGATAATTTCAGGGAACAAACACAGTAACCAAATATGGTATAAAACACCGCTAAACCACGAGTTACAAGAGACCATTGTCAGGAAAGTTTGAAGAGCAGATCAAGTACTTAACGAGACACTTCTTTTCATCTTGAAGGCAAGTTCTCACACCTAAATTATACCACACTTTGTAGTTGTACTTACCCTGACACTCAGCTTACTATTGAACACTGACAATGCCCCTAGCAAATAAACTTTACATTACAGGGATAACAAGCAAACCCCGGTGGTACAACAACTCACAAACAACCAAAGGCCCAACATAACAACAAATAAAGGGAGCCAAATACATGACTCAAAATTAAATAATGCGCGACTCACAGAGGTAAAACTATTTTTATAAATATTAATCGTCACTACACCAAATGCATAAAGCCTGGGAAACATTGTAGGAGAAAAGAAAACAATTATGGAAAGAAGTGGAGAGGTCAAGCTCAAACGCTTAGAGTCGAAGTACCAAGATCACCCTATAGAGTCCCCTCGAGAGAAACCTAAAAGGGGTTTAACTCTTGAACATGAATTGAAGCAGTAGAGAAGAACCTTCACATGTTCCATGACCTGATCGCGGACCCTGTACATGGTTTTCATTGTAAGTTGAGGGGAATCATGGAGCGTTACCTTAATTCTGGTAACCTCGTCTTATAGAGTCTTCAAGGACTTCACTTGAGCCTCGGCGTCCTAATGAAGAGTTTTTCGATCCTCCTTTTCTCAACAGGTCATTTCATAAACAACATCAAAGGAATCCTAATGTTGCTTCTCCTCCGCCTTAAGAGTATCCTCCAAATTGATTACCCAAGAAACCCGAGTAGAAAGGGAGTCGTGGATCTTTGCCTCCTCCTACAAAGAGTCAGCAAGCTTGGCCTTCTCAGACAGTTCATCCAAATCCTTCTAAAACGTGAAGCACCTCTACTCCATAACTTCACACTTCACCTTCCAAATGTCCCTTTCCTTTGAGGGATTTCCAGTATCCAAGAAATCTCCTCTACCAGTAGAGACCAAAGAGAAAAGAGAAGAGCCATGGTACATGTTATGAGTGATCTCACAGACGAGCCCCATCTTTTTCGCCTCATGGAGGTTTTGGAGAAATGATAATATCTTTGTAGATACAACAATAATAACTTCCTCAAGAGTGCGAGAAAGTTAGGATGAGAAAACAGTAAGCATCTACGGGAAATGAGTCATCGCCCATATAACGTTATCCTCAAATAGATGGGTTTGTTTGGAAGAACCCTCCTTTAGAGGAGTGTTAATATTCATCTTGATCCCTCTTTGTTGAGACTAGAGACTGTGGTGTATCTCCCATAATTAATATGGCCAAAGCACTGACAAGTAGGTCAACCCCAGGGGCAACATTAACGATATCTATGGCTAAGAGGGGAGTAACGATCGGAGTAGGAATACTGGCACTTTCCATAGTCTTAGGAGGAGGCATCATTGCTCGGCCAGAAGGACCGGTCTCGATACCTTGAGCACTGTAAAGGTTGTAGAACATTGGCAACTTATCCATGTTATCTACAAAATGAATTCACACATGTTAAAAAAACTGTACGACTCCGTCCTCGCCAAAAATATCATTTACCTCTCCTGGCTGACCGTACTAATTATTTCATAAGTGTCAATTCACCTCTTCTTCACCTCGAAAGAAAGAACCTAACTGGGGCCAAACCCTTATTCATAGCTCAGCCCTTGGAACCAACAATGTATGTCCTCATTCATCGCCACCTTGGTATGGGAAAGAGAGCATAACTTGGTACAATAATGATAGACATCTTGGTAGAAATGAGATAAAGATAAATACTTCAAAAACGTGCCCTTGCAGAAGTGAGAAGATTCACTATGGGAGTAGCAAAAGATGAGATAAGCCTCTGGGATAAGGGTTTTCAACATCAAGAAATTCCTCATAAAATTTCCATAGTTCCGCGTGAAGTGGTCAAACCAAGGATCGACCAGATGGAATATAATGAGCCCTTGGTCGTGGTAGTTGTCATGAGAAGTGCGAATAATGTAGAATAAGTTGAAAAACAGACTGAGTGAAGGCTTCTAAGGCTTATGCTAGACACATAACTAAAATACCTTAATGTAAGCTCAAGACCTCAAATGAATCCGGGAAGGATAAACCTTTAAATGCTTTAGGATAATCGCTTCAAAATCAGAGAAAGGTAGCCTCCGACTTAATTGATTGTAAGATTAACAATGAAGAGTCTTCTTCTTTTTGGTTCAACTGGTGGATAGGGAACCAAACACTCTCGGAAGCCTTTCCAGAGTTGTACGATCAGGGTTGCAACAAACTTCATGTTAGTCGTAGAGGCCAGGTTGCAGACGGAGGGAGGTTGGATATGGGATGAGGCAAAAGTTGTTACTGTTGTAACAGTAGAGGGTGGGTGGCTGTTAGTAAAATATTTTGACATGCTGGTCGATGCTGATCTCTGTGACGAAACAGAAGATATTTCTGTATGAAAGGTAGAAGCCGAAGACGGTTTTTCAGTGAAGACTTGTGCGGATGCCTTTAGTTATAGAGATATCCATATTGGACTGCATCATTGGGTCAAGGATGCTCATTGTTCTGTTTGGAGGTTAAGTACTCCATCCAACATTAGGATGTTTGGTTGGAGACTTCTTTTGGATAGACTCCAAACCAGAGATCAAATTTGGAATAGAGGTATTATTGAAGACGAACGATAAACTTGTTGTGTGTTTTGTTTTACAGATGACGAATATTCCCTCCACTTGTTTGATTCATGTTGTGTTACTAGAAGAGTTTGGGATAAAATAGAGGGGTGGATTGGAAGGTTGGAGGTCATTACGACGCTAGAGATGAGATCTTTTCTTTTGCATAGCCACAAGATCAAGAATACAGATGAAAGATTAATAATAGGGGTGATTTGGTTGGCCATAGTGTGGAACTTATGGATAATGAGGAATGCAATATTGTTTTATGGTAATTCTTTCAATTTCAATGATTGCATTTTCGCTATTATTTTTTATTCTTGGAAGTGGTTTAGAATTGTTAATTATTCCTCTATTTCTTGTAATTTTCACTTTTGTAACACCAACCCTCTTAGTTATATAAATAGGTGATTGCGTTTTTGTCATCTCCGAATTAGAGTACCCCTTGTGACCAATTTTGAGGTTTATCAATGAAACATTACTTATTAAAAAAAAGCTGCAATCATATCCTTGTGAATAGACACTCGTAAAGTGGGACCGTGTAGTCATTAAAAGAAATGCTTATCATTTTCTCTGGTACCACTGGAAGAACCAACTAGTCCATAGGATCACCAACCATTATGCCAACAACCTCTATTGCTGCTTCAGTATTCAAAATAGACGGGGTACCCACCACTTCAGCATCCACCTAGTCGTACTTAACTGCTTCATCCAACTCCACCAGTGTCACACCTCTCTAAGGTAGATGGTTGGCTTTAGAATAATCACTCGGTGTGATCCAAGACACTACAACTTACCTACCCCAAAGCGAGAGTTGGTGAACTTGAAATCATCAACGCTTTCTCACATCAGCTAGTGAGCTTGAATTTTGTTCTTACTCAAAACGAGAGGGGAAATATGAGCTTCAACATGATATTCCCTATCATCATCATGATAAAAGGTCTTCAAACAAATTGAATGAAGAAGCTCCCTTAACAAATGTGTCTCAGATACAACTTCTTGGCCCAGGAGATCGTGAGCAAGGGGGAGGGACATGAGAATCAGGGAAGGCCCTCATTCCCACGGTAGAAGAAGTATCACTCTCAAAATCACTCACTTGTTTAATAGTGCTATCACTCATTGTGGCTAGAAAACAAGAAATAATGAAGATAAAAACTTTAGTTAAGGAGGATACCCGGGTATGTGAGATTGGTGAAGCAGATAGAATTAAGAAAGACATAAACTTTGATCAAGTAAGTTCATTCTCTCTGATTAATCATCACAGGAAGGAAGCGAAGAAGGCATTTATTAATAAAGCGAATACGAATAAACTTGAATGCTAGTGATTGTGAAAATATTTTCAGTGTTCAACTTCCTTCTATTTATAGGCGAAGATGATTGAAAGATCCAAATTTTATGATGGAAAGGAGTGTGAAATCAACACATGGATTTATCTTTGGGAATACACGCAAACTCAAGTGCACTTGATTAAACTATAATTCACATTATGCCTTAACTTGTCGCGTTAACCCATGTGTCAGAAGAAAGTAGTGAAACATTTCAATGGCGGAAATGCATTAAAGGCCCTTGTTCCCCACTACTTTTTACCCTAATCTCTCCAAACATTTTAGCCCCAATTTAAATTAGAAAACATCCCTAGAAGCAGACCATAGTCACTAAAGGCTTCCCCGTCTCTCTCAGTGATCGGTAATGCCTTGGGAAAACTGTTTAAGGTCAGCCAAAGGCCTAGTAGCTAAGGTCCAATTCAACTCATGTCCACTCCACTTGACCCAAGGTGTAAAATTCAGTTCACACGAATAGAAATATACATTTTATAATCCCCACTTTTCACTACACTCATCTTAAATCTTGAACATACTTGGGCATTGGAATGCTAACCTAGGAGGTCCACCCCGTTCCTCCATATCGAAGGTCAACATCATTGGTTCAAGATCACCGGTTCATCAACTGAATCCAATTCTGATTCAAAGACGGAACAATATATAACAGTACACTGCAAACAAATGAGCCAAAAAAGTAAAAGAGGTACCAAACTCTGTCACAAAAAACAAAATAAAAAATAAAAAGAAACACTAGCCTCCAACAAAGTCGAGGGGAGGAAAATCAAAACCACAACCACAACCACCAATCTCACTATAAATCAACAAGAACACTCCACTAGGAGGCTGGTGAGACTCAAGCAGCTAGTGGCTAAGATAGGGAATAAGCTCTCAATTCAAGCCAAGAAAGCACAAGAGTTACCCACAGACTTACCAAAATACCATTTCCAAGTCAAGAAAATACTCATGTCTTCCACATCATTTAATGTCACCGACTTATCTGAAAGCACTATATCATTCTGAGATTTTCATATCGACCCATGTCATATCATAAAACATCCTCCGTAACGCTAGGAACTCCCCCAATCAGATAAAACATCTGAAAGAGATAAAAAAGATGTCTAGATAAAATTACACACTAACCCAACCAACTAAAGATCATATACCAACCAAAAACTACTATCTCACAGGTCACAAAATGTTGAGAGGACGATTTGAGAGATCCCAAACATAAGGGATAAGTTACAACCCCTCCCCCCAAGACAATGGAAACCCCCATTCTTAAGAAAGTTCTCTATAGTAGGGATCACATCTTGAAGAAGCTACTTGGAAAACACAATGACTTTAGAAGGGTCCAAATACTAGGGAGAACCAAATCCACATAAGTGACTTGACGATCACTTGAAAACTCATGAGCCTATACAAAGGCTATAAGAGCCATATTTAGAATGATACCACTACCACCTACCACGCTCTAAAGAAGGGATAAAATCTCAAATAACCGATAAAAGACTAACAAATAGGTATAACTCGTGATCAAAGAGTAGGGTTCTTGTCCACTTAAGATTCTAGATTCACACATCACCCTTCCACCTCTCAAACTCCCCAACTGACTGATTGGAGATGGTGAAATGTCTTAGAAACCAATCTCTAAGAAGAGTGTTCATATTTCTAAAAAGAAGTGGAAATATAATACCCAACTTTCTTACTAAGACTATCTATAACTAGTCTGAGGGATCCACAATGTTGACGCCAAAAATAAACACTTCTTTTCACCAAGAAAACACATATCGAAGACAAGCATCTCTATCACCCATGATAGAAAGAAGCAATTTAATATATAGCAGATATCTCTCTTATAATTTTTAATAATATTTGTATTTAAGACAAATATACATGAAAGAGAAGTGTAAAATATTCAATTAAAAAGTGTTAAAATTGATGAATATTTTTAGAATATTCTGATAAAAATAAATGATAATATTTTAGAGAAAACAAGAACATTATTATTCAATCTTTTGGTACAATTATTATTATTATTTTTTTGAATATTCTATCTATAGGCTATAG